GCACGCGCCACCATGCCCAGCTAATTTTTTGTATTTTTAGTAGAGACGGGGTTTCACCATGTTGACCAGGATGGTCTCGATCTCCTGACCTCGTGATCCACCCCCCTCGGCCTCCCAAAGTGCAGGGATTACAGGCTTGAGCCACCGCGCGCGGCCTTATATGTTATTATTATTAAAGTTATTTATATTAATTATAATTTAAGGTATTTTTTGAACAATCTGGGAACTTTTTGGTGATTGATTTTTTAAAGCCTCTTTACTATTTTCTTTCTTTCTTTTTTTTTTTTCAGGTGGAGTTGCCTAGGCTGAAGTGCAATGGCATGATCTTGGCTTACTGCAACCTCCACCTCCTGGATTCAAGCGATTCTCCTGCCTCAGCCTCCCAAGTAGCTGAGATTCCAGGTGCCTGCCACCATGCCTGGCTAATTTTTGTATTTTTAGTAGAACTTGAACTTCAGACCTCGTGACCTGCCTGCCTCGACCTCCCAAAGTGCTGGGATTACAAGCGTCAGCCACCGTGCCTGGCCTACTGGATATTGTCTTGTACATTATTCATTAAGGGCTCTCCAGCTACCTATTCAAATAGTAATTTCCAGTGAGTAGACATCTGATCTACATGGTTAAAAAATTACAATTTTTAAACAAGTGGGTCATCATGTAGTTCTGATACCCAATAACATATTAATAACAAAAATATTAAGATGTATTAAAATTTGTGACTAAATTTATTGAACAACATCCTAACAATAAAATATACATATACCTTACCATCTGACCAATTAGAGTGTTGATTTTCTGTGCATTTCTCCTTGAAGATGAATCCATATCAACAAAAGACCAAAAGCTGCACTGAACTGGAAAAGTCATCTGTTGATCAATATCCTCCCCAAACTTCTTTCCTGGGATGTACACTGTGATGCTTCTACTCTCCAGAACTAAGTTAAAAGATATTATTTATTTGTTATTTAAGTTCATTTTGGTCTAAATGTCTACAAATTAATAATATATTCTTATATAGAATTATACTGTCTTGACTTTGAATAGTGAAAGAAAGTAAATTTGATTGTTTTGCAAGACAATGCTCTAAGTTAGAGCATCTGCCATAAAAAGAACAAGGCAAAAACATATATTTGAAGCCTTATATGTCCCATGACTTGATGAGAACTAGGAGTCCAAAGCATGTAGCTAGAATTGTGGCTGGGCACCTGAGTGGACTAGGCAATGGACTAAGAGATTGGTCATATGATACAGACTTACATGAAAGGCTAAAATTAAATCATGTTCTTTTATGTGGGGAAAAATGATAGAAAGCAGGCCATCCATGTGGGAGTGAGAGAGGAAAAGATAGATAATATGAACTACAATGACTTGGGGAAATGTATCTCAAATTCAACATGTTCAAAAGCAAATTCATTGTCCTCCCTCCTCCCACTTAAAACCCAAACAGGCCAGGCATGGTGGCTCATGCCTGTAATCCCAGCACTTTGGGAGGCCGAGGTGGGTGGATCACCTCAGGTCAGGAGATCGAGACCACCCTGGCCAACCTGGTGAAACACCATCTCTATTAAAATACAAAAAATTAGCAGGTGTGATGATGTGCACCTTTAGTCCCAGCTACTCAGGAGGCTGAGGCACGGGAATCACTTGAACTCGGGAGGCAGAGGTTGCAGTGAGCTGAGATCGTGCCACTTTAGCCTGGTGACAGAGCAAGACTCCATCTCAAAAAATAAAAAATAAAAAAAAAGGAACACTTTGGGAGGCTTACACAGGAGGATTGCTTGAGCCCTGGAGTTCTAGACCTGCCTGGGCAACTTGGCAAGACCCTGTTACTACAAAAAATTAGCCAAGCATTGTGGCATGTTACTGTGGTCCAGCTACTTGGGAGGCTGAGGCAAGAGACTTGCTTGAACCTAGGAGTTCGAGGGTGCAATGAGGTATGATGACACTACTGCACTCCAGCCTGGGTAACAGAGTAAGACCTCATCTCAAAAAAAAAAAAAAAAAAAAAAANAAAAAAAAAAAAAAAAAAAAAAAAAAAAGAAGAAGGAGAAGGAGAAGAAGGAGGAGGAGAGGGAGAAGGAGAAGATGGAGAAACAGACCAGGGCAGTCACGAGGACCACATATGATTTGATTTCATTTATAGTCAGCCATCCATGTCTGAAGGGTCTGCATTCAACCAACCACTGATGAAAAATATTCAACCAATCAATAAATAAAACAACAATAAATAACACAGTATAACAATTTGCAAAGTATTTACATTGTATTGACTATTATAAGTAATCTACAGATGATTTGAAGTATATGGGAAGATGTGCATAAATTATATGCAAATACTATGCCATTTTATATGAGGGACTTGAGCATCTGTGGATTTTGGTATCTGAGAGGCCCTGGGACCAATCCATGGAGAATACTGAGGGAAGACTAAGTATGCAATGTTCAGAATAGGCAAATATATAGTAACAGAAAGCAATTAGTGTTTGCCAGGGACTGTTTGGGAGTAGGTGACAGGAGGCAGGGACTGGGGGTTGACTGCTAATGGGTATGGAGCTTCCTTTTGGGGTGATGAAAATATTCTGAAGTTAGTGGTAATAGTAGCACAACTCTGAATTATTCTAAAAAGCACTTAACTATACACTTTCAGTGGTGAATTGTATGATGTGTGAATCTCAATAAAACTGTTACAAAAAATGTAATAGTAGTAATTGCCATTCTATTTTTTTAGAGAGGGGGTCTCACTATGTTGCCCAGGCTGGAGTGCAGTGGCTATTCACAGGTACGATCCTACTATAGATCAGCACAGGAGTTTTGACCTGCTCTGTTTCCGACCTGGGCTGGTTCACCCCTCCTTAGGCAAGCAGGTGGTCCCCCGCTCCCAGGAGGTCACCATATTGATGCCGAACTTAGTGCGGACACCCGATCAGCATAGCACACTATAGCCCAGAACTCCTGGGCTCAAGTGATCCTCCCACCTCAACCTCCCGAGTACCTGGGACTACAGGTACGCGCCACTGCACCCAGTGCTTTTTATCTTTCTACTGTACAATACTCTTATCTTTCTATTGTGCAATGCAAATATATGAGCATTTATCTCATTTGTGGAATCACTAGTATTTTGCACATTCATATGTATTTTGTTTTTACCAGAACAGTGGAAATGCTGCACAAAACAATTTTTATTTTACTTCTTGATATGCATACATTTCACCAATGCTCTCTACCTTCAGCTTACTGATGAGTGAGGAAGGACTGGAAAGACAGGGAACTGTGAATTTACCCTTTCTTTTTTCTCCTGTCAGCATTTTCAGTGTGAGTGGTTGGCAAATACAGGGAAGCAACCAAGTAAGAAAGTATGATAGGACTACTTGGTCATTTGTGTTTCTTAAAAGGCCATTGCCTTCTTTCTGCATTAGAAGCATGTCTAGTTCAAATGAAGAGCATGACCACTTGGGGTTATTAGCACTCCCTCTTACTCAGTTGAAAATGTGTTGTTATGGAAATATAAGTGCACCCATGACACATGGAGTTCAGCAACAATCAAAGACAGTACAAATTAAATGTGTTATGAAAGCTTCATAGTGATCACAAATGCTGTATGAAATAGGGCAGGAAGGCACAGTCGAAACAGGTATGCATCTGTCTCCTCTACTCACACTCAAGTGCCATTGACTCACTGGACTTCCTTACAATACAAAGATAAAATTATTAAAAATTTGAAGATGATGACAGCAGAGTTTTAAACCAAATGCCAAGCTCTTGTGGGGAGACAACATACTAGCAGGGCCAGCTTTATGAGTGTGTAACAAGTGCAATTGTACTGAGGCCCTCCTCTGTACTAGCCAGATGTTCTACCATCCTTTGTTGAAAAAAACCTCCTTTTATCACTGACTAGCTTTGGTGCTGTAGTCCAAAATCAATTGACTATAAAATGTGGGTCGATTTCTATACTCTCTGATATGGTTTGGCTGTGTCCCCCACCTAAATCTCTTCTGGAATTCCCATGTGTTATGGGATGGGCCTGGTGGTAGGTAATTGAATCATGGGGGAGGCAGGTTTTTCCCATGCTGTTTTCATGATAGCAAATAAGTTTCACTAGATCTAATCATTTTAAAAAAGGGAGTTTCCCTGCACAAGCTCTCTTTTTTTGTCTGCCACCACACGAGACATGCCTTTCACCTTCTGCCATGATTGTGAGACCCCCTCAGCCATGTGGAACTGTGAGTTCAGTAAACCTCTTTCTTTTGTAAATAACCCAGTCTTGGGTATGTCTTTATTGGCAGCATAAAAACAGACTAATATACTCTCATTTTGTTTTTGTTGCTTTTTTTTTGTAGAGATGGGGTCTCAGTGTGTTGTCCAGGATGGTCTGGAACTTCTGGTCTCAAGCAATCCTCTTGCCTCAGCCTCCTACAGTGCTGGGATTACACATGTGAGCCACTGGGTGCAGCTAATTTCTGCGTTCTCTTATAAAGTGAAACAATATGCTATATGATCTGAGCATACTTGTACATTCATGCTGATACACCAAGAAGGCAAGGCTCTGACTGCTCTTTGCCCAGTCCAAGGCTGTCCATATTCCTGCTAGTTATAAATCTGGCCCAACCAGCATTACTCTAATACAGAACCAGACAATGACATTATAAGAAAAAACCCTACAGTCCAATGTCTCTCATGAACATAGGTTTTTCAAATCCTCAACAAAAATAATAGCACATTAAATCCAACAATGTAGAAAAAGAATTATACACCATGATCAAGTAAGCTTTATCCCAGGTACGTAAGGCTGGTTCAGTGTTCAAAAATCAATTTATGTAATCCATCATATCAACAGGCTAAATGAGAAAAATCATATGATTGATAGTGGCAGAAGGCAGACAGGTCCTGGGAGGATAGGGGCAGGTCCTTGGTGAAAACTTCAGGAGGGAGACAGCTTGAAGCCTGAAAAACAGGCTGCCAGTTCCGAGTGGATTTCACTACCTGGAGTGAGAACTTCCTTAATGCCTTTTAGCCAATCAGATGGCGTTTTTCTGCACATGGACCAATCAGCACTTGACAAAACCCCATATCCATTTATGATTTTAAAAATTTCCTCCATTCTTAGCCCATAAAAACCCCAGTCTCTGGCTGGGTGTGGTGGCTCATGCCTGTAATCCCAGCACTTTGGGAGGTTGAGTTGGGCAGATCACAAGGTCAGGAGTTCAAGACCAGCCTCCTGACCAACATGGTGAAACTCCATCTCTACCAAAAATACAAAAATTAGCTGGGCGTGGTGGTGGGCACCTGTAATCCCAGTTACTTGGGAGGCTGATGCAGAGAATTGCTTGAACCTGGGAAGCAGAGGTTGCAGTGAGCTGAGATTGTGCCACCACACTCCAGCCTGGGGAACAAAGTGAGACACTGTCTCAAAAAAAAAAAAAAAATGACTCAGACACAGGTTGTGACTACATGTCTGCGGTTAGGAACTACCCACTTTGGGTCTCCTGTGTGCTGAAAGCTGTTCTACCAAGCAATAAAACTCTTCTCCACCTTGCTCACCCTTCAGTTGTCCACATAAGCTAATTCTTCCTGGACGTGGAACAAGAACTTGGGACCTGCTGAACAGCAGGCACAAAAAGGGCTATGACACTTTCCTGTGAGGCTTGCTGAGGTGAGTGGGAGCAAAAAGGGCTGTAACACTTTCCTAGCCAGCTTGCCTAGCTGTGAGTGGTGACACACTCTTGTTTGTTGGACTGTGGGAGTGAAGAGCAATGACGCTTCTGGAGACCCAGACCTCAGGATTTCCTGAGTCAGAGCTGTAACACTGTAATTCTTCTGCCCTCTGCCAGCTTTGGGTGGCTGCCCCGCATGACAGAAAGTGATGATGGGCTGGGCCAGCCCAGGAGCCATGGGTTGGAGTGAGGCAATGGACTAAAAGAGCTGTTAACACGTGCCCCCATTCACTGAGCTGTGGACAGCAGGAACGAGGGAACTGTAGCATGCTTCCCCCAACCCCTCGGAGCTCCACAGTTGCTGGTGTCTCCAAGTTTTCAGATGCCACCACGTTCCTCTCATCCAGACACCAGGGCCCACAGTGGAAGCTACTTGCAGTATGCCTGTTCCAGCTACAGTCTCGCATGAAACCAGCACCTGCGCCAGCGCCTGGAGTTGCCTGCCCCGCCACAGCAGCCGGTGTGCCTGGCTATGTGCAGTGGCTAGACCCTGCGCTCGCTCATGCACATACCACTTGCTGCTCTGCGCCTGGCTTGCCCTCAGCAGGTGTGGGATCTGGACTGGTAGTGTGAGCCAAGCGCAGCGTGCTGGCCCGAGTGGGCAGAACAAGCCCAGCAGGCAAGAGTGAAAGTCAAGCAGAGGTGCTGCCAGACACAGATGTTTCTGGCTGGAGAAGCAGCACCCGAAGGATCCTGTGACATGACCATATTAATAGACGTAGATAAAGCATTTGACAAAACCCCATATCCATTTATGATTTTTAAAGCTCTCAGAAAATTAGGAATAGAGAAGAACTTCCACTGATAAAGAATGTCTACAAAAAATGTACAGCTAACATCACACTTAATGGTGAGAAACTTGAAGCTTTCCCACTCAGATCAGGAGTAAGGTAAGGATGTCCCCTCTCCACACCACTTTTCAACTTTATACTGGAAGTCATAGCTAATGCAATAATACAAGAAGAAGAAATAATTCTGGTCCATTACAAGCTCCTGTGTTAGCACACTGAAAGCAAAGGCTAAAACAGTGCATTTGCACATTAAATTTCTGTTTTTGCTTATAAAATGAGAAATGGCATCTAATATAATTTCTCAAACCCTCAAACACATGTAATACTATCCTAACTGTTAAGTATCTCAACATGGATGAGAGTATAGGTTAAACAGACGAAAATTAATTTCAAAAATATTGTTTACCTGATTGAAGCTGTTCAAGTTTATCTTTTTTGTGTGAAGCCAAGTCTCCTATAAAGCAGATACCACCTTTAGCTAGCAAAGCACTGCCAGCTTGAATGCTAACTGCTCCAGTTCCATACTTATTCCTGGATAAAGTGGGAAAAATTTCAGTAGAGACTGGATGACGTATACCACGAGGAATAAGGTTTATGCTAAAATTCAAAAGCCTAGGGGAAAAAAATAAATTTTTCATTACTATTATTTAATTTTCAAAAGTCATAATGTTAATTAAATTAAATAAAAATTAAATTAAATGTTAAATTTAATTTTATTCTGTGTTTACTGAGCAATTGTGATACACCAGCCATTGTGCTAGGGATAAAAATATATATGACCAACATGGTGAAATCCTGTCTGTACTGAAAACACAAAAATTAGCTAGGCATGCTGGTCCATGCCTGTAGTCCCAGTTACCTGGGAGGCTGAGACACAAGCATCATTTGAACCTGGAAGGCAGAGGTTGCAATGAGCCAAGATTGTGCACTCCAGTGTGGGTGACAGAGCAAGATTCTGTCTCAAAAAACAAAACAAAAAATATATGAGACCTCCTGGACCTCAACTTGGAAAGCTCAGAGTCTAAAAAGACAGACATAAAAAACTAAAATACAATGTGATATGTACTAAAAAATGTCTTTAGAACATACATCGTGGCTGGGTGTGATGGCTTATGACTGTAATCCCAATACTTTGGGAGGCTGAGGCGGGTGGATCACTTGAGGTCAGGAGTTTGAGACCAGCCTGGTCAGCATGACAAACTCCATCTCTACTAAAAAACACAAAAATTAGCTGGGCCTGTAATTACATGCCTGTAATCCCAACTACTGAGAGGCTGAGGCAGGAGAATTGCTTGAACCCAGGAAGTGGAGGTTTCAGTGAGCTGAAATCGCTTCACTGCACTCTGGCCTGGGTGATGGAGCGAGACTCTGCATAAAAAAAAAAAAAAAAAAAAAACATCCATGGGAGTGGGAATATTATTTCTTCCTGGAATGGAGTCAGAGAAAGTCACAGAGAGATGACATTTGAATTAGGCCCTCTTGTTTTTATGGATTGCTTTCTTTTGCTTTTCAGAATTTTTGTATTAGGCTTGCTAGTGTCACATCAAAACTATCACTCTGTTGCTTCCGTATCATGGCAATTGTGGGGTTTTTTGTTTGTTTTTGTTTTGTTTTGTTTTGAGTCTCAGGTGCAGAGGCTGGAGTGCAGTGGTGTGATCTTGGCTCACTGCAACCTCCACATGTCGTCAGGCTGGAGTGCAATGGAACAATCTCGGCTCACTCCAACCTCCACCTCCCAGGCTTAAAGGATTCTCCTTCCTCAGCCTCCCAAGTAGCTGGGACCACAGGCACAAGTCACCATACCTGGTTAAATTTTTTTTTTTTTTTGTAGAGACAGGGTTTCACCATGTTGCCCAGGCTGATCTCAAACTCCTGAGCTCTAATGATCCTCCTGCCTCGGCTTCCCAAAAGCACCGGCATTACAGGCTTGAGTCATTGTGTCCAGCCAAATTTTTTTTTTTTTTTAAGAGACAGAGTCTCATCCGTCATCCAAGCTAGCATGCAATGATGCAGTCATAGCACACACAGCCTCAGACTCCTGGGCTTATGCAATCCTCCCTATTCAGTCTCTCAAGTAGCTGGAACTACAGGCATGGGGCACCCGCCTGTCTCATGGCAATTCTTGATATGTCATTTTTGACTTCTAACCTCTTTGCTAATTGCCTCAGCTCTTCATATCCCAAATTTAAATTCTGAAAGAGGAATATGATTACCTTAGCTTAGCTTTCAAATATTTGCCACAGAAATCATAGCTTGCTGGTACAATCAGCTATAATGAGTAGACACAGACATGTGATATAAAAGGGGATGATATAAAAGTAGGCATAGACATGCAGTGCAAAAGAGGGTAAGATGTGAATAGGTAGATGGTATAAAATATGTCTAGTGCATGTACCATTCTAAGGAATTTGGATGTTAGTTTGAAGATATATAAAATGAGAGGGCAATATTTAGAAAGAAACCTTTGCAAGCCTATAAAGAGTAGTTCTCAACCACAGTCTACACTAACCTTACCTGGGGGGATTTAACAAATTCCAATGCTAAGTGCCACCACAAACCACTTATATTAGAAACTCTGGGGGTGAGACACAGCCATAACTATTTTTTTAAAATTCTCTCAGATGATTCTAATAGGCAGCTAGGCTGAGTGCTTAGTGATATGGGACAATGAGCTTTAAATTTGGCTACATATTGGAATTGGCTAAGGAACTTTTAAAACTACTGATACCCAGAGGGTCACAGAATACAAAGTACAAAAATCAAATTGTATTTTTATATATTCATAGCAAACAATCAAAAATGAAGTTAAGAAAACACTACCATTTTAGTAGAATTAAAAATATCAAATATTTTTGGAACCACTTTAACAAAATATTTACATGACCTTTATAAAAATATCACTGACAGAAATTAAAGAAGACCTAAATAAATGGAGAGAGATGCTATATTCATGGATTGGAAGATTCAATATTATTAAGGTTAATTCTCCCCAAAATTGATTTACAAGTTAAATACAGTTCCAATAAAAATACTCAAAGGTTTATTTTTGGTTGGTATTAACATACTAATTTGGCTGGGCATAGTGACCCACATCTGCAGTCCCAGCACTTTGGGATGCTGAGGTGGGAGGATCACTTGAGCCAGGAGTGCAACACCAGTCTGGGCAACATGGTAAGACCTCATCTCTACGAAAAACTAAAAAATTAGCCAGGTGTGGTGGTGCATGCCTCTGTTCCCAGCTACTCGGCAGGCTGAGGTGGGAGGATCACTTGAATCCGGGAGTTTGAGGCTGCGGTGAGCCATGATTGTGTCACTGAACTCCAGTTTGGGCAACAGAGCATGATCCTGTCTCAAAAAATAAACTGATTCTAAGAATTATTTTAAAATGCAAAGGATCAAGCCAGGCATGGTGGCTCATGCCTATAATCCCAGCACTTTGGAGGCTGAGGTGGGCAGATCACGAGGTCAGGAGTTTGAGACTAGCCTGACCAACATGGTGAAACCCTGTCTCTACTAAAAACACAAAAATTAGCCAGGCAGAGTGGCATGTGCCTGTAATCCCAGCTACTCAGGAGACTGAGGCAGGAGAATCACTTGAACCCAGGAGGCAGAGGTTGCAGTGAGCTGAGATGACACCACTGCACTCCAGCCTGGGCGACAGAGCGACTCTCTCTCCAAAAAAAACAAAAGACAAAGAATCTAATTTTTTTTAATCTTTAAAGTGAAGGATAAAGGTGCATTACTTGATTTCAAAACTGAACATAAAGCTACAATAATCAAAAGAGTACACTATTGGTATAAGTATAGACAAATACTTTTCAAAATATTAGAAAATAGTTCAAATAGATTTATACCCAGTTCAATTTTATAGCCAGATTTTACCCCGTTTAATTGATTTTGAACAGCGGTATCAAAACAATTTAATGGGGAAAGGAAAATCTTTCAACAATTAGTGTGGAAAAATTGGATAATGCATATGAAAAACATTAACTTTAACTCATGCTTCCTACCAATCTCTGGGAGATTGAGGCAAGGGATTGTTTGAGCCTGGAAGTTTGAGACCAGCCTACCAAGACTTGATTCTACATGAATAAATAAATAGTAAACTAAAATTATAATGCTTCTGGAAGAAAACATTTAAAAACTCTTCATGACCTTGGGATAGACAAAGATTTCTGAAACAGAAGTCAGAAAACACTAAGCATAAAATAAAATAATAAACTAAATTTCTTTTTTTTTTTTTTTTTTTATACGCAAGTTCTCTCTTTTTCTCCAGGTTTGAGTTCAATGGCGCGATCTCGGCTCACCGCAACCTCCGCCTCCCGGGTTCAGGCAATTCTCCTGCCCCAGCCTCCTGAGTAGATGGGATTACAGGCAAGCGCCAACATGCCCAGCTGATTTTTTGTATTTTTTAGTAGAGACGGGGTTTCACCATGTTGACCAGGATGGTCTCGATCTCTTGACCTCGTGATCCACCCGCCTCGGCATCCCAAAATGCTGGGATTACAGGCTTGAGCCACCGCGCCCGGCCTAAATTTCATCAAAACTAAAAAGTCTGCTCATCAAAGATACCTTTAGACAATTTTTAAAAAACCTTTATACCTGGAGAGAAATTTTATAATACATACATTTGGCAAAGGACATGCATCCAGAACAACTAAGCTAAAAAATGAACAAAGGGCTTGAACAGACACTTCATTTAAAAAGTTATGTGAGTGGCCAATAAGCACATGAAAAAGAACTCAAATCAATAGTCATCAGGAAAATGCAAATTAGAACAATGACTTATCCGGCCGGGCACGGTGGCTCACGCTCATAATCCTAGCACTTTGGGAGGCCAAGGGGAGTGGGTCATGGGATCAGGAGATCGAGATCATCCTGGCTAACACGGTGAAAAAATCCCGTCTCTACTAAAAATACAAAAAATTAGCTGGGTGTGGAGGCACGCGCCTGTAATCCCATAGCTACTGAGGAAGCTGAGGCAAGAGAATCACTTGAATCTGGGAGGTGGATATTGTAGTGAGCCAAGTTCACATCATTGCACTCCAGCCTGGGCAACAGAGCAAAACTCTGTCTCAAAAAAAAAAAAAAAGCAATGACATATCATTTCATTCCCACTAGTATGGCTAAAATGAAAAGAGCTGACAACACCAAATGTTGACAAAGTTGGAAACAAGAGGAACTCTTTATATTTTTAGTAGAAATGTAAAATGGTACAACCACTTTGGAAAACTAGCAGTTTCTTCCCTTTTTTTTGAAACAGTGTCTCGCTCCGTTGCCCAGGCTGGAGTGCAGTGGCACTATCTTGGCTCACTGCAACCTCCACCTCCTGGGTTCAAGCAGTTCTCATACCCCAGCTTCCCAAGCATAGCTGGATCTACAGGCACCTGCCACCATGCCTGGCTAATTTTTGTGCTTTTAATAGAGATGGGGTTTCCCCACATTGGCAAGGCTGGTCTCAAATTCCTGACCTCAGGTGATCTGCCCTCCTCAGCCTCCCAAAGTATTCAGATTACAGGCATGAGCCACCATGCCCAGCCAACTGGCAGTTTCTCAAAAAGTTATAAATCTACCTTATGATCCAGCAATTCCACTCCTAGGTATTTACCCAAGATAATGAAAATACATGTCCACAAAAAGACTTTTACAAGAATGTTTATAGCAGCTTTATTCATAATAGTCAAAACATGCAAAACCAAATGTCTTCCACTATGAGAACAGGTAAGTGAATTTTGGTACATTTGTATAATGAAATGCTACTCATCAACAGAAACAATGAACTACTGATGTACACAATTGGTTAAATTCAAAAACATTTCGTTGAGTAAGAGAAAGTAGACCTAAAAGAGGATACACTGTATGATTTCATGATCTGAAGTTCAAGAACAGGAAAATTGATGTATGGTGACAGAAATCACCAGTGGAGATAGGAACTGATTGGAAGAGGAAATGAGGGAAATTTCTGGGGTGATAGAAATGTTCTATATCTTGTTGTGGTGGTGATTAAAGGAGTGTATGTATTTGTCAAAACTCATTGATTTTTTTTAGTGATGATAATAAGATCTGATTATTTCACTGTACATAAATTATACCTAAAAAGAAAAAAACAAACCAATTTCTCACACAGCCACAAATATCATTAAAAAAAAGGCAAAAGGTTAAGGTCAAACAGAAAAAGAGAGAAAGGCCTTAATTTACAAGCAGCACAAATCACAAATAAACAACATAATTTAAAAAAAAGATCGGCCGGGCGCGGTGGCTCACGCCTGTAATCCCTGCACTTTGGGAGTCCGAGGCGGGTGGATCACGAGGTCAAGAAATTGAGACCATCCTGGTCAACATTGTGAAACCCCGTCTCTATTAAAAATACAAAAAATCAGCTGGGCATG